GCTTGCTCGATAACTTCATCGTCATGTATGATTAGGTTTTTTCTCTTTCTAATCTTTCTTAATAAAGTTCTTCTCTTCCTACAGTTAACACCGTCATTGACATGTGGATCTTCAGGAGAGCCTTCAAAGTCCTCCAAAGAGACATTAGTAGATTCCTGTATAGTTTTCAGAATAAATATTATTTACATATCTATTGAATATGCTAATTTTTTTAGTAGTTGAAAGTTTGCTAAATAAAACAGTAAAGAAATTTACCTTTCCTTCAACAAAACGTTTTGTTGCAATGTTATCCTCAACTTTCTTTTTCCCCTGCATAAGCAACGAAAATAAAACATATTTTCAGTGTACATATACATCTGGATTACCATTTGAAACAACCTATATCACAATACCTTTTGTTCTGTCCTTGTTGTGTATTGCAATTCCAGATTCTCATCTGGAATGAACAACATGAATACCGTATAATTTTTAAGCCCCTCTTTAAGATTGTAATTGTTTAATCGTAGCTTGAAAACAAATTCCTTGCCGCAAAGGCTTTGGATTTGTGGAGGTATATTATTGTGTATAACAGTTTAAGGATAGGAAAATAGCATATGAGTTTAAGAAGGATAGCAGAAATTGTTTGAGGACAATGGTATGCGAGGCTTTTATAAAAAGGATTCGGTTAAAAATTTTAAATGATGCCAACGGTTAATTGAAAAGTTACAACCCTTTGGAAAAGCCACTATAACGGAGGCAGGTTTTGCCCAGGAGGATGAAGAGGGCGTCATTATGAATGAAGTCAGATATATGAAGGAACTTTTTCCTTCAGATATANCTGGGGGGTGGAGAGTTAAAATTCTAGCTTTTATTGTCTTCTTCTTTTGCACTTCAACTTTTTCCTTTTATGTAAATCTTTCAGCATATGAGGAAAATGAGATAAAACAATCAATGGGATGTTGCATCAGAAATTTGTTGGTTAACGTTAATTTCTAGCGCTTAAAAATGATATAATAAATATATTCTAAGTCATTCTTTGCATTAATACTCTAGTAAACTCCTATAAATATTTCAGCTATCAGTTGTAATTTGTTTAACTTTAAAATATTCAATCTGCAACCTTAAATATATGGAAACCTATTCAGTTGTACTTGTAACTGTGATATACGTAATGTTAAAT